TGTGAATGACAGCTGACTACACTTGCTGTGTGAGCTGGACTTTATGTGGATGTAGGTATAAGTCCAAATGCAAAATACCCCATAATGTGAAGTAAGAAAGCGCGAGCTCTAGAGAACATTAAGTAATAGACACATTCGAGTCTTCGGCTCCACTTTCACTTACAATAACGATAATTTATGGTTTTACAGAATTTTCTTACAGATTTTACGACATCAGTAATCGAACCAATCTCTTCCAAATTTTCTTAAAGTATTACCAATATCTTGAGTAGATGGAGGAGTGCACCATGTGAGTCATCAATAATTTGTAGTGCTATTCTTAAGTGATCCATTTTCTTAAACACCAGTCTCGTAAGGGCTAAAACCACTTTAGAGGTTGAAAAATAGACTCAAGCTTAAATTTTATTGTAGGAATATGGGAAAAGGAATAAAATTTCTATTTAACATTTTCATTGAACATATATTGAATTAAAAAAAGTTTTTTTAGGTCTATTATTTACTCCATGCTTTTTGGAAAGGCGTCCACGTGAGTACCCATTTCTTCTAAAGGCTGAGACCTATAAAAGAGAAGCAAACAGTTTTATGATCTACAAACTATCGTCTTTGAAAGTACCTTCGGTTTTATTATTTAATTAATTTTTGGGAAAGCAGCAGACTTTTTTTTAAAAAGATTGATTTTTGACAAAAAAAAATTTACATTTAATCGAAAAACGGCTATGTACTTCCGAAAAAATGTATTTGTGAAGCTACCATCAAAATTTTAGCTAAAACGATGCAATAGGGTCCGAATAATCTATTCTCCCAGTTTGAAAACTCCCAGTTTGTACTAAGCGTAGGCTTTGAGTTGAGGCAAAATAAAAAGTTCAGCTATTTGAAATATTTTGTTTCTTCACTTTGAAGCTTAAAGGTACCTTGTGAGTAAAAATAAATAAAAAATTGCATTTTCCAAAATCCTAAAGTGGCTTTACCCCTCAACTAAAACAAAATGTTGTTCATAACCTTGTTGCCAACTTCGTTATATCCCTCGCGTCCCTATTGGCAAAAAAACTCAGAGAGCCAATTTTCTGAGGCCTCTCTTGAGACCAACTTTTCACCATTAAGCGCGTTCGCCATGGACAGGAAAATATGGTAATCACTTGGTGTCAGGTCCGGACTATAGGGTGGGTGCATTAGGACCTCCCATCCAAGCTCCTGGAGCTTCTGACGTGACATCAAAGACGTTTGTGACCTGGCGTTGACCTGATGGAACACAATTCGGCCTCTTTTGATCAAAGATGGCCACTTCTGGATGAATGCTGCCTTCCAACGGTCCATTGGTTGGCAGTAGAGAGCCGAGCGTTGAGCGTTTGGCCATAGGGGAGCAGCCCGTAGTAGATGATTCCTTGCCAATCCCACCAAAGGCACAGCAAAACCTGGTGCACCTTTGACATCGAAATTACCGGAACGGAATCTAGCAAACCACTTTTGTGCTACGTGTTAGTGATCGTAGAAAAATTGTAAAATTTAGCGAATTTTTTCTTTGCTCGTGTCTATTTGACGAGCGCTCACAACGTACCGAGTCAATCAATCGAAAAACTGTCTAACATAAACTTTTAGCGCGAATAAACATGTTTTCAGCGGCGTGTAGTATGATACTAGTACTATGGACAATAACGCCATCTCTTAGATAAAAACCGAACGAACTTTTTACTTGAACTAATATATTTGTTTTGACAGCTAAGTTGTATAAATCCCAATTTTATAGCTCCGTACTTTTGAAACCACGAAATGGACAAGGTTTATAATTATCATTATTATTATAAGAATTAAATGTAATTATGTACAATACATATGAACTCATACATATATATACAAACATATGTATAGGCAATTATTTTTATTTACGTATTCAAGTATAACAAATGCACGTATGTAAGTATGTAGGGTTTTTTTTTTATCTCTTTATTATTTCATATTTACAATGGATAATCTTGTGATACTTTTTGGATTGTTGTTGGCTTAATTAATTAAGACGCTTTTGTATATTCTTTAAGAAAAACAAATGGGCATTGAATACAATAATTGATGTGCATGCGCTTGTGTCATGTAGTTGTATGATTATGATTATTCAACTATTATTTTTGTGTTTAGCTTAGCGTACGTGTGCATATGCAAAATATCTATGTACGTATGTACGTGTGTACCAACAATAAATGACATTTTTAAGGTCTAAGTAACAATGGAGGTTATAAAAATAATTCGTATTTTTTAATGAGTAAATAATTTAGTGTATTCACCATATGAAAATGTACTTATGCTACAAACATATATGCATTACATTGGAGAGGAAAAAATTAAAATTTTTACGAAGCCCAAAAAATTTATTTTTAACGGGAAAAATAGTGGAAAACGTTTTTGCTTTCACATTCAAAGGCACGGCAAGTGAAAAATGAATTTTAGTTAATTAATTAAATTTCAGTTAAAAACTATATTTTTTATTATAAATATCTCTGTGAGTATTAGAGCTTAGTTAAGAGAGAATTTAAGGAATCGTGACTTTTTGCAGTCAGAGGGGTTTGTCAATAATCCGAGATTTTAGCTTTAGCATGCCACGGGTAGTCTGTCTCCTTTACAACTTACAGGGGTTTATTAAAGGGTTTTAAGAGCTTATATATTTTCAAAATTTCTTTTTCTCTACAAAAAAAAAAATAATTTTTACAAAATTATTTCCTGCCTGAAGACTAACATTTGAAAAATAATTTCTAAAATTATTAAAAGGAAAAATATTCATAACTCCGTCATTGTGACGTCATTTCCGGTGATTTCTCGGAAAACAGGCGCGTCTGAGTTGACAGTAGGTAGACAACATCAGCCAAAAGAAAAACTAAAAATTGTATTTTACTTAAAATCATAAATTGGAATTCGAAGAAAGGAAAATAAAAATTGGAAAGATTGGATTTTTATCAGATTTTTGGTAAAATTTGCATTTCAACATTTTTTTTTAAATAGTTGTGATTGGAAAAATCGTTCGTCCTTGTGAATTCACGATGGAACAATTAAGTAATGATACTGATTTCATAAAAACTGTATATTTCAAAATTATTCTAAAGCACTGCCATCCCCTTCAAAGTAGTCCCCTCGGGCAGCTATACAACGATTTCAGCGCATCTTCCATGCTTCGTAACATTTCTGGAACGCTTCGACTAAGATGTCCGCGATTACTCTCGTCACGGCCGTCTGGATGTCCTCAATCGACTCAGAATGTGTTCCTTTGACCACTGATTTTTTTTTTAGGTGTCAAACAAAATCACCGGGTTTCATATCGGGCCAATAAGACGGTTGTGACAATCCCTTTAGATGCCAAATACTGCGGGCGGTGTGGTACGACGCGTTGTCGTGATGAGGGCTCCAGTTACGAGCGATGTCTGGGCGCACCCTGTTGACTCGTTTTCGGAATCTTTAGAGTACTTAGCGACAGTAGACTTGATTTACGATTTGCCCCGGTGGAAGAAATTCTTTGTGGATGATTTCACGGCTATCAGAAGAAGCAATATTCATTGTTTTCCACGCCTCGTCTCCTTAAACTCTTTATGCCATCGAAACACCTGGGCAGTGCTAAGAGTACTATCACCAAGCATTTTCACAATTTTATCGTACGTTTCCGAAGCTGTTTCGCCCAATTTGGCGCAAAATTTTATCTTGATTTCGTTTCTACATTTTCGTGACGAGCACCATGAACACTCGTTTACTCAACACGACACAGCAGGCGAACTAAACAGGCTAGAGCGATGACAAATATATCAATGAAGAGGAGAAGGATGCCGGGAGAAGAGAAAGGGAATTTCAAGTTCGCAGGGTTACACAGTCTCGGCAATATAATCAGTTTCATTCCTTAATTGTCACACCTCGTATATCCGTAAGCATGTTTAAAATCTCCTCGTTGAGTCTTTTTCGAGAACCTTTGGCAATCGACTTTGAAAACACTGCTTCGAAAAAAACGCTGAGCCTATCTACCTTCCCAAGGCTGTTTCTCCGAAAAACTTGATTTAGATCAACTTGAAAATTTAAAACAATATTATCGAGATGTTAAAGAAATTAATGAGATAATAAAAGATTTTTGTTTTCATAACTGTAACCTCTCAACGAAATCCATAATATTTATTTATAAAGAATTTAAGTATAATTTTTCGGCTTTCAACGAAATCAAATCATCTTAGTAATCGTATGGACATTGGCTTTACAAGCCTTAAAATATTGCTTTTGGCGGTACAAGCAAGAGCCGCTCTCAGTTACATAGGTGAGAGCGAGAGAAAAACGGCTGTCACTCATTTATAGGTTTTTGTTTTTCACGTTGAGTGGTAAAAGTCCGGGAACCGAGAATTATTCTCTTTAATTCACTTCTCTCTTAACCAAGTTCAACAGTATTTGCAATAACAAACTCATAAAGTCTTGCTAAAAATTTTTGGCTTTTTTGAAAAATAAAATATCGATTTTTTTTAAACTAAATCAAATCGATTCGAGCTAAGTATGGCTTTAAATAATTTTCGCTATAAACATATTTTTGCCATAAAAAACTCTTTTGGGCTCTTAAAATATAATTTTTAGCGACCACACTAATGCACATGCTTGCATATAAACGTAAATTATCACATTTTTTGCACGTTGGTTTGTAATTAAATTCAAAATCAAATAACAAAATTATCGCAGATGAAAAATGCTACCAACATTAGTGAGAGTCGAGCTTAATAAGGAAAATCGCTTTAACCAAAATAATCCGAAATTTTATTTTGAGTTCATAGCAAAGTATTGGGAATTATGTAAGCTGACATAATTGAAATACAAAATACAATAAAAACTTAGCGAATACTTAAACAATAACAATCAGATTTCGAGTTGACATTAGAATAGAATTGAATAGAAATTTCGCTAAATACAAAAAATGTGATGCTTTCAAATTAAAATAACACTTAGTACTATAAAAATTTCTTACATCACTAAAAAAATAAAACAAAAACAATAAAAATGTTTTTTTTTTTGCAATCATCAGTCACTATAAAAAAACCAAGAAAATTTTACCTAAGAGCATGCTTAAGGGATATTTTGTGCCGTTTGTAGGGATTTGTTACTCGCTCCAATAACAAAAAATGGCTAATTTATGCCTTAGCATGGCAACCAGTTACAAAAGTTCAGTAGAAATGGATATTTTTTATTACCCCAGAGATTTCATTCGAAATGATGGTAAACTTCATCGATATAATCGTTTTTTCAGCGATGCCTATAGAGCCATGATTAATGACTTTTTCATATCTGAAGTGGAGGATGGAGGATGAGGACGATTTTTGGTTTCAACAAGACGGCGATACATGTCTTACAGCCAAATATCTCGCGTCGTGATCGGGTGGCGTGGCCTCCAAGAAGAAATCGCATGTCTATGTATATAGATAAGTCCGAGACGACTAACGTCTTGGTGGAGAATATTGGCGCGTTAGTGCTAGTCTACGACCCCAATTCCTGCAAAAAGTGTTGGAATATTTAGGTTTTCGGCTGAAATTTATTTGAGTCAAACGTGGCGTCTATAAAAACTCCTTTCAAATTATTAGAATTGGATTTTTTCGATCGGACTTTATCGTTATTTTGTGATTTCTATTTTTTTTTTATCAACTTTTATCAATATTTTTAGCCAAAAAGCTATTGATAGGCACTTTTTGGACTTCGCACCATAATAATGTACATATGCTCTTAGGCTACATTCCTTCGGCTACCCTCTGTAATTTTACACCCGCTTCGCCGACTCTTCGGAGGGTGGTCGCACCCAACCACCGTAGCGCCGTTCCATTTCACGTGCCACCGCCAAGCAAAGATGATCCTGTCCGGGATTCGCAACCACCTGTATGCCCATCGGTAGATTGCGTCTATCCAAACCGATCATACAGTTGGTCACTGGCAAGCCCAACGTATTAAATATCGCCATGTACATGGGCTCCAGTAGTTTGTGGTAAATTTGATAATGCTGATGTGCTGTATTCGGAAATGTTGGATAGAGAAAGACGCCATCGTTGCCGAGTAGCTCTTTGAATTCAGTCTTGAGTGCCTCAATGATGGTGGCCAGATGTTTGTGGCGTGAGTTCGGTATAATTTTCATAAAATTCTGCAAATGTCCGAATATCACCGACGGCAGTATGCTATCCGAACAACCGAAGAAATATTTCACCGTCTCCGTGCATACAGTTTTGGGGCGTTCACCTTCTTCGGTCTTGTAATAGATTGTCTCGATGTTTTTCATTGTCAACATGGCTGATAGTGAAATATCCAGCGATAATTTCATTTTGCGTATATTCACACGTTTTGCATTGAAATCGGTTGCAACACGATTAATGGCGGCATGTAGGTCACGACTCAGCGGACGCATCATGCCCGATGGTCCATCGTTATCCATGAAAAAGAAACGTATACTCTGTGCGCTGAGTTCACGTTCGAGTGTCAGTTTGGGTCCTGTGGGATCAAGCATACATTTCAGCAACAGCGGTAGATCTTTTGCGTAGCGTGTCATTGGTGCTATGGTGAAGAAGTCACCCCATTTTGGATAATCACTGGTCGGATGGTGACCCTTAAACGACACCGAGTACGGTGTGGGCTTGTGCCCCCAAATGCCGCTAAACATGGCGGGCAAACGTGAAGAGCCACCTATGTCGGATGTGAGTCCCAACAGCGAAGCACCACTAGCCAATAATGCAGCTTCGCCACCCGAAGAACCACCTGGCGTGCGCTTCAGATCATAGGGATTTTTCGTCTGACCCGTCACATTATTGTACGTCTCCCAAAGCAGGCACAGTTCAGGTGTATTAGAAACTAACATTATTATACCGCCACAACGTTTGATCTGCTCCACGACGGGCGCATCGGATTTAGCTATTTGTGGTGTCTTAAAGACACGCCCAGCCTGATTGGTTAAGCCCTTAACCGCAATACTCTCCTTTACCGTCACCGGTATGCCCAACAACGGGGTGTGCTCTTCCATTTCTTCAACGGTATTGATGCCGGACGCGATGAGGCGATCAGTATCGCGCGCTTCTTCGAGCGCCTCCTCAAAACGATCCTGCACAATGGCATTAATTAACGGATTCACCTGCTTACACCGCTCAATGTACGCCTCCACCACCTCTTCGCTTTTTACCTGCGGAAGAAAAAAGATTTAATGAATTTATTTGCTGCGTTTATTTTTAGCGGTTTTGTGTAATTAACCAATTAATGTATTAAAAGTAAAACAACAACTACGGGCGGGCACAAAAAACTGGCATCTATAATATATTCATAAATACCTATGTATGTGCGAGTATATAAGCTTGCCAACAAGATGTTCGCTCATGTCGACGGAAGAAAGCAGAAAATAATGAATCTTGTGTGGCGCCGGGATGGGACCTCTTATCTTGGAGCAAGTGCATACATACGAGGCATATCCAGAAAGTAAGTGTACTCAGGCTCGCATGGTCATATTCGCATTAGGGTAGTGTAACCAGACTTTTCCCCTTTGCAAGGATACCAGTTCGAGGTCAGTACGTTGAGAACTGTCGACGCTACAACGCGTTTCGTGACCAATGTCAGTCCAGTCTACCACAGAGGGCAAAATACGGGACGTCATCCGATATCAAACATCCGTTTGAGAGTTATAATGAGGTGAAAACTGCATGTGGTGATAAAGCTATGAGTCATTCGAAAAAAGGAGTCTGGCTGCAGGATGACAATGCCAGACTACGCCACTAAAAGACTACTCGTCTCGTTTATATTTGATGTGCAGAACCAGACCAGACGTTCTCTTGATCCAACGCCATCGGATGGCTATTGATTTACCTCCTTGAAGCTGCACATGGGTAGAAAAAGGGTTTTTACCAACGAGGAGGTAAAGAAAAAAATGGAGAAGTAGACGAAGGGGTTGGGGAGAGCATCAACAAATTGTTACCACGCTTAACCCCTAAATTAATTTGTACTAATTTTTTGCTCAGATAAAATTTATTAAGCCCTACAAAGTTTCTGTACACTTACTTTCTAGATATGCCTCGTATTTATCACAAACGAAAGCACATTCACACAACCCGAACCTGCCTTTAATTGAATGGAATTTCACATATCATCTCACTGAATTCGCGCAGCTGTTGACTGCCCTGAATTTGCATAATTTACAGTGGGTATTAGTCAGAAGTTGAAACCCTCTGCCACCTCATTCAACCTTCACCCCACGATCCATTGGGAAGTTAATGCTCCGGTTACATGCTGACAATAATGCTAATTTCATTCACTGCTCGCGTCAAAGAGGGTGGGGATGTTAGTGTGAAGTCCAGAAAAATATAATTTTGCTTTGTAACTAATTGCTTGTTGTTAACTTAAATAGTTGTAGTTATCACTCCATTTCATTATGACTTATTATTTATTGAAATTGACATTAACACCCCATTAATGGCAATGTACACGCTAATGGGAGTTTCAAAAGCACGTAACGTTTGATGCCGCAACTCGTATTTTGATTGTTTTTCATAGAAATTTTCAAACGTGTTGCGGAAATTTGGCAGTTATACTGACTGACAGCTAAGATGGCAATCGGAAAGTATACAAACTGAGTAATTAAAGTCGATTGAAAGGAAACGTTTTGCATTTTGCTTGTCATAATTTTTTATCACTTCAATTATTCGGATTTTTGGCATATTTAATTTAGGTTTTATGCTTGAGTTTGCCAGTCAACACTCAAGGCAAAATATACCCGAATGTACTGAGAATGATCAACTCCGCTAGGGCCCGATATTGGCATAAAGAAATGCAGCAAGCTACGAGTACATAGCTCTCACCGTATCGTAAGCCACCCAAACTTATTGATCATGTTGTGATAGCCGGAAGGCATATCTCCAGTGTTCTTGATGTGCCTATATTCCAAGTACCATACATCGACTCGAATTAATACCTGGTCACAATGGAAATATGTTCCATCCTCTGTGCAGCAAAAACCACGCACATCAACAGACACAAGGGCGTTTCGCCATCAAAAAGTTGCAAAGAACCGAGTGTTTTTCTCTCTGAGAGCACTCGCCAGCAACTAGAGAAACGTGGGCCGGCATCTCAAACTTCCCACGTAAACCTGCAACTAATGACATTCGAAAGGATCAAAAGAAGAGTGATACTATTGTGAAGTGAACCACAGAGATAAAAAGCAAGACGCCGAATGGCATGAGTATGAAAAGCTTGAGAAGCTCTCCGACAAGAGTAATATGCGTCGACTAATAGAAAGTTTCAAGATCGGAAAATATTCAAGTAGAAACCAAGAAGGTGATCGGCGAGTATTGTACTGAATTTATAGAGGAAACATTTTTCCGGTCTGCGAAACACCAGGAAATGGCTAGAACGGTTTCCCAATTGATAACGATGGAAGATATGCTCCACTATCCGACTATGATGAAGTCCGAGAAGTAATTTCCAGAATGTATAAGAACAGAGCGACGAGAAGAGATGGCTTACCGGCTGAGATTATGGTTGGGTGAGACCGTGACCAAAGATTGCAACTTAAGCTTGCTCTGCACATTCCCCGAAAAGCGAGGCCGCACAATCTGCGTCATTTTTTGTGATAGAAGTCTTCCCAATATCAGGTATAAGGTATTTTATTGTGTGAAATACTACAAGTTCTGACAATAAGATAATGAGTCGATTGAGGACATCCATCCGGCTGTGACGAGGGTACTCGCAGACATTCCAGTAGAGGCGTTCCAGAAATGTTACGAAGCGTGGAAAACATGATGGAATCGTTGTATAGCTGCCCGAGGGGACTACTATGAAGGGAATGGCAGAGTTGTAGAATAATTTTGAAATATACAGTTTTTATGGAATCGGTCTCATTACTTAATTGTCACACCTCGTATCGCCAACCAACTAAATAGACCTTAGCAGTTGCTTTGGACATGGAATATCCAACATTGACCAGATTGTCACTATGCGTCAAAATTCGAAAAGAACCCATGATGAAAGAAGAATTAAAATATGTTTTCAGGGTTACGAAATTCAGTAATAGCAGAGTAGGTGGTGTAGGATTGACGGAGTTATTCAGCTGTATGGACCGAGAGTACCAGCAACGCTGTAGGAATCAGTATCGAGGAAGTATTTAGACAGTTTGATTTTCTATCGTGTGACTTCTTCAACTTAATGCAGAAGTAAATAATAAAACCGAAAACCGAATCGATAAAATTTATAAAAAATTTTTTTAAAAAGTTTTCGTTGCACTATCCGCCGGCAAAATCTGAACAACTTCGCATTGGTGCCCAAAGAGAAAATGTGTGAAAGTCACATCTGTAAGCGTCTGAGCTCATCCATGTGGGCGTTGGCTGCCATATACGCTTTCAATCCTACCACTGTTTACTTCGCTCTGTTCTCAAAGTTTCCGCAGCCAGGTCGCTGCAGGCTTTATGTGAATCAGCCTTAAGACATTCATATAGCTATTTGTTGAAAACGCAGCTCCATAAATAAGCGAGAACTAATTATTCTACGCTGGCGAAGAAGCTCTAGTTTCTGCTTCACTAATTTCAGGGTTGGTCTACGACGTTGGTCTAAATAATTTTTTCTTACACGTCAAATCTTTTAATGAAAAAATAATAAAAATTATTATTATAAAATCCAGTCTTTTCTACCCAAAGTTGGAAAGACTTCAAGGAGAAAGCTTTAGGTGTAATTATATTATTGAAATGAACTTAAAGCTTTTCAATCTATTCATGATTTATATTGCATTTTTTAAGCTTCGTTTTAGTTTGAACTTGTGTCAAATTTTGTCTATTCCATGAAAAAGAAAAAAAAAACAACGTATTTTGATATTAAATGCAGCATTATTGTTTTGCAATCCTTCTGCACATATGTATGTATACTTTTCATCAAATATATATGCATACACATACATACATATGAGTTATGTTTGTATGACGTAGATCAGATATTTCCATTGCCATCAAAAGAGTTGAGAGGCCAGTCTTAGCTATTACAAACATATATGTACATGTAAATTTATAATATATAGCTATAAATAAAACCATTTGCATATATTTTTAAGTCTGAATATGCATGTGTACATATTTGCAAATAAATAATTGGGTTGCTCTTCACGCTCTATAGTTTTGATTGTATAAACAAACGTGTGTATATTTGCTCATTCGCTCAAACGAAACTTTATTTAAAACTAAAGACATTTGTGTCTTCATAATTGTTAGGGTGGTTCAAAAAAAAAAAAAAACTTTTGTTGAAAAAACGAAAAATATATTGCGATCGATTGAATAAACGATCGTTCTGATTAATCCACATCGATTTAATTAATAATTAATTAATAATTATATATACAATATTAATAATTTATGCAAAAGTAGAAGATTAAGTGTTCAATATGAGCTGTTTTCTATATAAAAATGTTTGTTAATACAGGGTGCGCCATTTAGATGTATCCTATTTCAACATTGAATAGCTCCGCCATTTTGCAGCCGATTTTAACAGATGAACACAATTCTGAAACGTCATTCAGTGCCATTTTAGCTATGAGTCGATACACACCGAAAGAACGCGCTGAAAATTGAAAACGATCGTTCGTTGGATTTTGGCGCACCTTGTCTGTCCACAAATGCAGAAAAAAGGTCTAAAAACTTTTATTTTCAGCAAGACGGGACACCTTGCCACACCGCAGCCGCTACGATCAAGTTTTTGCAGAGAAAGTTCCCAGGACGCGTTATCTCAAAAAATAGTGATTTGGCCAGCAAGCCGAAGAACATTGACGAACTCAAAGCTAATATGCGAGCTGAAATAGCTGCGATATCACCCGAAATGCTGGCCAATGTTATGCAGAATGGCCGAAAAAGAGCTGCTTTTTGTGTATCAAATAAGGGTGGTCATTTAATCAACGTTGTATTCTAAACCTGGTTTGAAGTAAATGGCATAGAATATCGTAAAAAATCCCGTTCATTTGTGAAAATATGAAACGTATTCATGGTTCGGCTTAGTTTAATTTTTTGGTGATATGCCTAAATGGAATACTTTTGCTTTGTGGAAACGAGCCACATCCATACCTCGACTTGTTCGAAATATAAGTAATTCTCTCTTTATGGAAAAGTGACCAACGGCAAATTGACAAAAGATCTGCTCCGGAGAAGAAAGAAAAAATGTTAT